CCACATATATATATATATATATTTACTACACACATATATATATATAGATATATATATATTATTTTATTTAAAAACATACAAAACATTATCGCTTCGATCTTGATTGATATTTTTCGCGAAAATTAAATTGCCACTTGACATATTACGTATGTCTCCCATGCGCGTCATGAACTATAAATTCTGTTCAATGACGTCTTTACGATATCGGCTTTTTAGAGGCTGAAGATTTGGCGACGGACACAACACTCGTTTTTTTTTAACTAGAATATATAGATAAAAAGAGCCTGAGTGCTGAAGGCCTCTAGAGAGAGAGAGGGACTTTCTACTTTCTGGAGTCTAGAGAGATGTCTCTAAAGATACATATGGCCTGGATTCCCATTGAGAATCAGAACATTCTGACACCGCCTTACTGCTACAAATTTACAATCTGGCATAAAAAAGGGATTGACAAAGAATACCACATTATATTATCAACAGCCCTCATATGCATCACATACTCTCAATATGCCTGTCGTATCTATATTTATGGGCTTTCTTGCCGTTATCATACTCGCGGCGGTGAGAAAAGAATGGGAAGTGTTGTAAAAGTGAATACTGTGAGGATTGGGTACCTAAATATAACAAAGAGATTTGCTGCAAGAAGAAAATCGACCCACCCGTCATATGCAAGAACTTTGATGTTGACTGCAAGTACGGCTACGAGCTGCAAAAGAATGAGAAATGTTGCAACAGCGACTACTGTGAGGATTGGGTACCTAAATGTAACAAAGATACTTGCTGCAAGAAGAAAATCGACCCACCCGTCAAATGCAAGAACTCTGATGTTGACTGCGAGTACGGCTACGAGCTGCAGAAAAATGAGAAGTGTTGTAACAGTGCTTTCTGTGAGGATTGGGTACAGAAGTGCGACCAGAAAACCTGTTGCGAGAAGAAAGTAGAGCCCCCAACCAAGTGCAAGAACGCGGACATCAAGTGCCACTACAACTATAAACTGATTAAGAATCAGAAGTGTTGCGAAAACGACTACCGTGACTCTTCCTTGCCCAAGTGTGACAAGAAGACGTGCTGCGAGAAGAAGGGGAAAAAGCACAGTTACTAAATCAATTGTATTTAGCAACTCAGAGTAAAAGGACACTGGCAGAAGATATTTAAATATGTTTACTGCAAAAAAAAAATAAGGATCGCAAGTAAGATCGTTTTGATGTTGACTATTGAAAATACAATGTGCAAGTAAAATATGTGCAAAATTAAATATATGTACGTATTGAATTTGCCGCCTTCATGTCTGACTATTTATTCCTGACAGAATGCGGTTCATGATAGCCGAGTCTCGATTTATACATATAATACTGCACTCGTTTCACATAAATCGCTGCTTAAACCGTGAAATATAGCCATTGGACATAAAACTACGCAAATAACGCAAATCAAGCGTACAATCACACATAGCAGCCTATTTTTCTTAAGCAATGTGTTTACTTTCTTGAGCTACTAACTTTCATACACGTGATAAAAGCTCAAATCCTGTCTCTAGTCACCTATATGACTTCGAGGTACTTCACTTTTTTGCTGAAAGTATATAAATCACTCCCCACCACACACAAGCATTCATTATGATAGTCGAGCTCAGATTACAACTAAACAGAATTATTGTGTGTATGTGAAGTCGATTTCAATACACCGGTACACATGTATATACAAATTTATGGATTTATGGAAATGGTCAAGAATCATTTATAGTAGGTTTATATTCTTAACGTTTGGCGGAATCGAGCTGTTCTATTTGTTTTTATACCTGGTACATGATCGTACACGCTTGAATAGAATGCGATATCTAATAGTGTAGCAACCGCTAGATTCGACCATTTGCGCTCCATAACCATGTCATATGTGCTAAATGGTCACTCGTAATGTATGTATCAGACCTGTACTGTCTCCTAGCATATACTTCTGACAATTGTAAGCCTTCCTTACCCATGCCTGGCTTCAGGAACGCCACCTGCGCTTCATATATGTCACTACTTTCAACCACAACGTTGAGCCTTTAGGGAAGTCCATTTTGTGTTCTATCCACTCCTGTCATCATTTCATAGCGTGATCTGTGCTATCTTATATGACTCCAGCCTGCGCCCGCTCAAGACCGAGAAGTTTTCGATCATCGGTTTGTTTCTGTCAACACTTGGTTGTATATCCTCAACGTGTCTTTATTCTTTAAGGAGGCCATTTGAAACCGTTTGAGACCAGAAACACTATATCCATTTCCTCCCGTCAAGTGGTCGATTTCATCACTAGTCAATGGTCTTCTATGGCGACAATACACGTATCCTTGGCCTACGCAATGGAAGTCACACTGCATATACCAGAGTCCCAAAGTGCTCATCGTTTAACCCAGTCAATCAATCCTATATGATTCGACGGTTATATATGTATCCGCTGCGCATGGGATGAGGCCAGATATATTGGGCATCCCTGCAGAATACTTCGTTGCTTCATACCGACCTTTTCGTCTATAGGTATGTAGTCTGCGAACTACACCGCTGCCAAAACCAAAAACATTTGGTACTGTCTGTAAATTCGGTATCCAAATTGGCCTTTAAATATATTTTTTACGTGTCCTAAATATGACTGGCATTTAGTACATCTTCGCTGAAATAGCGTACAGTCACACCAGATTGCGACCAGCAAGCAAGTACGCTTTTTCTTAAGTGTTTGTATTTCGTTTACACACTATTACCCTCCTTTTCATGTGCATTTTGATTCTTGAGAGCAAAAACGAGATTGCATAAGGGTTTACGGCTCACTCAGAGTCAATGGAAAGTCCCAATTGGACGTCTGTTAAGTAATAGGGTTAGATAGAGTCAGTGTATGTAGGCAAATGAACTGTTTCGATCAAAATTACGCAGCTTTCCTTTAGTACATTTACATATCACTATGTGCCGCAATAAATTTCAGGGGCATTTAAAAATGGTTTCACACAATAGATCCGCTACCTCAAATCGACATGGGTGTGTGTATCTACGAAAGGTATGGCCCTCCTGACGTGACGCAGCACTGATTTCCTATCAAGATTAAAAACTAAATGGTAAGTTCCTATTCTACAGTTCGAATACCTATTTTCAGTTTGTACTTCCTACTTGAATTATTTGAATTTTTGGAAGTGAACTGTCAAGATACGCACGAATTGGCCGCGCAATGACAATTGTTATAGCCAACAAGTTGAATTTTTGAAAAATCATTGGCTACGATTGAGTATGAATTACCAACGATAGTTGCCAGTTAGTAGGTCCAACTTAAGCCAGAATGAGCAGTGTGAACCTTGTGCTCATAGCTATACACATTTAGAAAAGGTGCATAACTCACAGTTGGATGATGGATATGAGGATGCAGCTCTTGCGAATACACACCCCAGCTATTCATGCGCACTTTCGTGTAACGGCATCCAACGCACACAAGTTTAAACCTACTAGTAACGACCGATTCAATCAACGAAGAGCATGCGCAGTGCAGTCACCCAGGTTATATCCATATAGCCATGTACCTATATACAGTCGAAATATTAATTGAATAAATAGTAATACTATATATATGAATTTTTCTTTTCTTTCTGCTCTACGTTTAGA